GTTGTCCTCATGTGCTTTTGCTGCAGCAGCACACGTGTATGAACAAAGGACTTGGTGTTAATGAAAGGTTTAATGAAAAGGTTTCACCATTGAAATCAATCTGTGTGGCCCAGCTTAAACTGAGCAAAAAGGGTGGGAAAAACCCCATTTGCAGTGTGGGTCCCATTCCTGGAAGTGTGCCATGCAGTAATGGGTGCCCCAGTGCTGGGTTCATCGAGTGAAAATCCTACTTTTATGAGCCACAAGAGCTAGAGGAGCCAATGGAACTGGGTGATTGGGTAGAGGATTTCACTAGCAAAAAAATGAGGAAAAAATTCCAGTGCATTTTTCAGGTGTTATTTCTACAGCCCTCCAATTTTCCCCTCTGCTACATGTCTAAAGAAGCATTGTGACAAATGGAGACAAAACAGACAAATGAGTTTAAAAAAATAAAGAGCAGAGGTGTGCTTGTCAGCACGCCGTGAAGGGAGATTTGCTCTGTGTAGTGATTAAACCAGGGAAGGGTGAGATAGAAACCGTGAGCTCAGACACTTGCTCCTTCTCAAAAGAAAAGTGATTTCCAATGCAGCCAATGCACCAGCCAGAGGTGAGAAATGCTTCCCGGTGGGAATGGCAGCTGCTGCAGGAGGAGCCGTGTGTTTGTTATGTGTTGGAGTGTTCTGCTCTCTGCCCTTTGCCCTGGGGTCCTGGCTCAGCCAGGGCCGACCCATCCAGGGAGCAGTGAGGGCTCTCCAGCCGTTCTGGCCATGCCCTGGTCTCTGCGGCACCGCTGCTCTGGCTGTTTTGGGGGTGTTTGCTGGCTCATGCAAACCTCTGCTCTGGTCATACCAACTGCCAGAGCAGCAAGTTCTGATTCAGTCAGTTTTTTCCCCTTCTCAGCCTTGTGTGGTGGCTTTGGGGAGGCCCCCTGAGCCATTGTTCTCCTATTGTGCCTTGCAGTGTTCAGACAGCGCGGGAGTCGCTGTGCTCCAGGAGAGAGACGTGAGTGAACCTGGGGAGCTGCTGCTGACAGGCAGGAGCCTGTGCCTGCTTCTGCCATGGGTTATGGATTACTGACTGCTGCAGGGATGGGTTACAGACCACTGGCTGTTGCAGCCTGCATGGGCAGGGGTCACAGTGACATCCAGATATCTGATGTGTGCCCCATGCCCATTGACCCGCTCCCTTTCCCTTTGAGCTCTGTCTCTTATCCCAGTGGGATGCTCTCACTCCTCTGAGCTGGTGCCTTCCCACCTGTGCCTGTGGCTCTAATGGGGTCTCTCCTCTCTCCACAGGGATGCCTGCTCTAGCGTTGGCTCCACACTCAGTCTGGAGCCTGCAGAGAGCATCAAGTCCTGGCCAAGTTCATCCACAGGCTGGACATCCCTGGCAGGTACCAGCGTGGCCGGGAGCATTTCGGCACAGTCCATTGGCAGCCGCAGCACCCAGAGCCTGAGGTAAGGGACCCGTGTGAACGGGGGATGTTGCAGATGCACTTTCACTGGGCTCCTTCAGGACGTGCAGAACCAGAGCTCGGGGTTGTGGTGGGACCTGTGGAGTTTGAGGTCAAAACACCAAATCAAGGAAGGCAGTCACTGCCACGCCAGGATCAGTGAAACACCAGATGAAAGTCACTACATCAAAAACATGCTTCAAGCAGTATAACATCCCTTGATGTATTCTCTGGAGAAAATTTAAAGAGGCGATGCAGCCTATTTGAGGATTTGTATGCCATATGCTCGCCGTTCCTGGCTGAGGAAGTGGGATGCGTTTCTACAGTTCTAATATCAGATATGTTAATTTTTGATGGTGATGCTCATAGGCTGTGAGGGAGCTGGAGAGGGGCCCAAGCACTCACACAGCCCAACTGCCTCCACTTGGCTCCAGGGGAGACACCTCGGGGTGCCTGGGCTCAGTAGGTGCTCACGTGCCCAGCCTGAATTGGTGCCCATCAGAGGAACACCCCTACCCACACACAAACCCCATTTTACAGCCATCCCCAGCACCACCGAGTCCCAGAGAAACTGGTTCTTTTTGGTTCACGTGTGAAGCAATTGCACAAGTTGAGTTTTGAAAGGCCACGTAAATCAGGGTCTGGGGGTTGTGTCATGGAGGGAGATGGAGGGGATGGAGGAGGGTGTTATCCACTTGGAGGCTTGGGAGGGGAGAGGTGGAGCAGGGATGGAGCTTTGAACCCTGGGGCAGGGAGCAGAGCAGGGCTTGTATGGATCCAGAAAGCATTATCCCTGAGAGTATCACCCCCCTGTAGGGAAGGTGGGAAAGGTGCCGACCATATGAATTCAGGGCGGGCAGGGCTGGCAGTGCCCCCCTTTGCAGCCCCTGTAGTGCCCCTGCCTGCAGGTTGGAGCTACTCCTGCCTGCAGCCCCTGGCTCGGGGTCTCTCTGATGCACTGCTTTCCCAGGGGTGGTGTACTGGGACATGCATCACTGTTTTCCCAGTTTTTGCCCCCATAACCAGGGCAGGTGCCAGGCTGAGGCTGGGCACAGCTCACTGCAGCTCCCACCTGCTCCCTGCTCATGTTCAGGTCCGTAGGTCGATTCTCCAAGCTGACAGAGTTTGGTCAGGATTGCAGAGTGCAATTTTGTTAGTATTAATCTCCCTGCTCTGATTCTGGCGAGATCTGTCCCCGCGGCACCCACAGGCCTTGTACAGGGGAATCACTATTGTCAGAATCAATGTTCTGAAGAGCAAGTCCCCCCTGCAGGAAACACCTTGGGTGAGTTGGAGCAGTTTGGAGCGGTACAAGGCAGAGTTTAAGAGCATTTGGGCAGGGCAAGGACCTGCAGGGAGATCACAGAATGATGATCTTGGGAGGTCTTTTCCAACCTGAATGATTCTGGGATTCTGTGGTAGGCTGGGCTGCCTATGGCCATTGTGAAAGGAAAATTGTCCTCAACCCTGGTCACAGTGTGACCATCATCCTCCGTGCTGGGGGTTGTGAAGGGGCACATTGCAAATCCTGGTGTGGGGGCTGTGTTTGTCTTCAGCTAATCTAAGATGGAAATAGGAGCGAGGGTGTATGAAGTGCAAACAAACAGAGGACGAGACTGGTAAGGTAATAAAAATGAGATCAGGGAAATGAGCTCTTCCTTATTAAGATTCCTTTGTCTTACACAAGCACCCAGTAATGAAAAATGAGTCTTGCTCTCGTTGGCTGCTCAGCACTACATCTGGGGTGTTTGCTGAACAAACAGCTGCCAAGAGCCAGAGGAGAGTGTGGAGGCTGCTACCGCCCATGTGGTTACAGGAAGGAGAACTTTGATTAACAGAACCTTTAATTCTCTGCTTTTTAAATGCTTGTACAGAATGCTGACCAGCAGACCTAAGCCTCCATAAATTTGACACGGTGCAGGGTTGGAATAATATAATTTTTTTATTATTAAAAAGCCAATTTAAATCTTTATGTATTTATTCTGCCCCTTTCCAGGCAAGTCAGGGTTGTGCTGCGATAGTGGGGTTATCCGGAGATGCAGGCAGAGAGTGAATCCACAGCCCAGGTCTCTGCTTCTCCACCCATGGCACTGTGGCATCCACAGCCCTGGCATCACCCCAGCATCACCCTGCCATAACCCTGGCATCTCTTCCTGTCCTGCTTTAGTTCACAGAACCAGGAATCCTGGTCCCAAGGCTGCTGGGGATCCGACACATTTATTTTTAAGCACGATTGTGTCAAAAGCAAATCATTACATGGGAAAGTGGGAACTCTTCTGTAGATGATGGTGTGACAAGAAAATCCTTTTCTGACAGAAATTAGGCCAGTGGCTCTTCCCTCTTGAAATGGAGTTGTCTTGGCTTTATTTATGAGCTCCTAGGAAAAGCAGCTGAGCCACACTTTCAGCCCTGGTCATGTGTTGCAAAGCATGTGTGGATTTTATTGTATAAATTATTTCAACTAACATAATTGTAATCATGTTAATTGCTCTGTAATCGTTGCTAATTATTGTTGTATGTCATTTGCTTTGGTGTGAATGGTGTATTGCAGAGCTTGGTTGGCTTACAGGCGCCTCCTGAGTTCGGCATCCGGCCCTGATTTTGCCTTTGCCTGGAAAAATCATCTTCCCTGAGGATGATGGAGGAGCAGGGCTCTGCTCAGGGCTGGAGCAGTCTCATTGTCCTGCAGCATCACCCTCCTCCGGGACTTCCCAGGTCTCCCCAGGGTCATTCCGAGCCCTGGGAATTATTGCTGGCACATCTGCCATTCACCAGGGATTTTATGGATGAGCAGAGGATGCCACAAAATGGGATAGGATTGTTTCGCTCTTGTGCCCTGCTTTGTGAGGAGGATGAGGATGATGAAGACTAGGCATGATTTTGGCGTGATGTTTTTCGGTAGCCATCAGGGCTAAAGAAATGAATCACAGAATGATTTGGGTTCAAAGGGACCTTGAACCCCATCCCATTCTACCCCTCCTTGGACCGCAGGGCTGTGGGGCCTTGGCAGCCGGGCTCATGCCAGATGTGGAAGCTGAAACAGTCCCACCTCTGCAGCTTTCACTCCATTTCAGGCCCTAAAGATTTTCATAAAAATAGTAACTGTCCATCATGCTGAACAGGACAGTAAATAGTGATGTGTAACTGTCCATGTTCACAGCGCATTAGCGCTTCTCTCTTTTATCTCAGCCTTAAAACCCAAATAAAAACACTTATACTGGCATTTAAATTACGAAAACTGCTCATGCAGCACACAGGTTACAATATTATTTGGAAACGTGCAGAGTGATTGGAGCAATTTTTGTACAATTTCTCATGGAAGGATTATACCAGCTATTTAACTGCGATGCAATTTAGGATCCCAAATACCCGCATTTTCGAAATGTCTCAAACTATTCATCAGTGGTGCGGGGTGGCCCCGGAAGGTGCAGGGATTCAGGGGGATTAAATCCCTGGTTAATCCATTTTGTGTTGAATTATCAAATGGTTTGAGCTGGTTTAATGAGCAGGGAATGGTGGTGGGTGCTGGGGCAGGTGGGCACGTCGGTGCCCCAGGCTGTGCCAGTGGGCGCCAGGAACCTGGAGCTGCTCCATTCCCCCTTCCTTTCTGCCATCACACGTTTCCCAGCCGTGGAGTTTGTCTTCAACCCATGTTGGAATGTAAATTATTTCATGGGTCAGCAGAGCCTAGTCCGAGAGCATCCCACGCACTGCCTAGATTATTCGCTCTCCCCCCATTCCCATGGCAACACCAACATTCCCGGGGCAGGATGCTTCATTACCAGCAATGTACAACTTGACCGCTGCTCCCGCACCTCGGAGGCTGCTGGTCTCCCAGAGCTGGGTTTGTTATTTGGGTTCTACTACCTTACTTTGCCTTTTCTCTCTTTTTCCCTCCTCCTTTTTTTCTCAAATTCACATCCCAGCAGACTTCCCACTCAGGCCAGTCCTGGGTTCCCCTTGACTGAGCAATGCTGGGGTACCTGAGTGTGGGGATACGGCACTGCGGTGCTGGCAGTTGCCAGCAAACAAATGTAGGTGCTTGGAGAGTGTCATAAATTGTCCCGTCAGGGGCTTAGTGTCACCAGTGACCCCCAGCCCATGGGTGACTGCAGAACCTCCCCATCTCTGTGCATCAGCTGCATGAGGACAGGGACAGGCTACAGAGAAACTCAAGTGGGGTGACCAGTGTGGCTCCTCAGGGGTGAATGGAGGTGGATCTCACGTGGTTCCTTTATCAGCCCTTGTCTTGGGGTGAGGTCTCAACCCTTGTCTCAGGTTGAGGTCTCACCCCTTGTCACAGGTTGAGGTCCAGCCCTCGTCTCAGGGTGAGGTCCCAGCCCCACACATCATGTTTGGCCATCACCCCTCGCTTGATGTGCAGCCCCTGCCTGGGTGTTACTGGGCTCTTGCAGTTCAGAAGTCCTTGAGCAGCAGCCTGGGTGAAACATGCCCCACAATAACATTAAGATGCGTCTGGGGTGCACCACAAGCTCGTTTCATAAAATTTTAGTGAATAATCTTTGGCTTTGACAGAAATAAAATAAATCCTACATATTGCTATAATCTGTCAAGAAAAAGGATATTTGGAGGTAAGTGTTGGCTTGGCAGAGCTGAAGCCAAGCACACCACACACTCTACACTGGGGATTATCCAGGCTGGCTGACCTGGAGTTATTTAAGATAAAATCCTTGAGCGCTGCCCAATGCTGGATGCAGCAGTGAGTTTATTCTGAGACTCCCATGCCAATACTGGCTTTTTGCTGCTCAGCCTTGTCCTTGCTGAATGACATTCCAGTCACTGGGAATCCCACTGACTAAACTAACACCAATTTTTGTTGTTTAGGGTGAGCAGAGACGCCAAGGACCCAGTGCTGAGCCTTCCTGTGTCTTCCTGGAGCACTGCCAGGCCCAGCGATGCTGCGGATCCGGGGAGGATGGCAAGTCCCCTACTCGGGGCTAGAAGACGGGAATATGGAAAACCTGCAGCAGATGACGAGGAGCAGGAAAGCCCGAAAAAGTCTGTGGATAGGATAGGAGAGACGTCCCCGTCGGTGCTGCAACGGGGGAGCTCCCCTGCCCCGGACGGAAGGTTCCCCAGCCCGCTCTCTCCGACGGCACCCAGGAGGAGGAGGCTCTCCGTGGCATCGGGGCCGGTGCCCAGCTCGTCGGCAGCTCTCTCCGAGTATGTGGAGGAGCTGCGGCGGCAGCGGGGAGCGGAGCGGGAGCCGGGGCACCCGGCCCTGGGGGAAACCTCTCCCCTGCCCATTTACCGCACCACCGGCGCCGCGGCCCTGCGGCGCTGCAGGGCTGTCCCAGCGGCGGAGGATGCCCTGGGCAAGCTAGACGGGAATCAGGCAGGGGAAGGTGAAGGAGCAAGCGCCAGCCTCCCGCGCTCCTCCAGCCTGCGGAGCATGGCCTCGGAGCCGGCCGAGCCCTCACGCTCCCCAGCTCTGAAAAGGGCATCCAAGTTCGGCTCCTACGACTCCCTCCTGCAATCCCTGGACAGCTCCGGCCGCCGGCCGAGCTCTCCAGCTGCCGGGATGGAGGGGCCGGGCACGCTGCGGCCGAGCTCCTGGAGGAGCTGCCTGGAGCCGTCGCTGGAGGATGTGGAGTTGGAAAGGGGCTCTGGGGGAGTTCTGAGCTCATTGTCCAGTGACGGGCTGGGAGAGGGGAAGGGGAGCGACCCCTTCAGCTGGCGAATACCCACCCTCAACTACGAGAGGAGAACCAAGGTCGACTTTGACGACTTCCTCCCGGCCATTCGCAAATCCCGCTCCACGAGCAGCCTGGCCAAGTCCAGGAGGGACAGACGGGACGGCCACCGGCCCCTCACCGTCCGCTTCGAGGATGAGGCCATAGCGGGAAGTTTGGAGTCCTCTGAGACCAAGGGCACAGCCAAACGCAGCCCGGCCCCTCGGGAAGACCCTGGAGATCCCTCTGACTCCTCCTCATCCTCTGGTTCCCTCCTCTCCTCCCGGAGTGCCGACAGCATCAAACGTCGGCCGCAGCCCCAGAGAGGGGATGGGGAGGGATCCAGTGGTAAAGACATCACCCAGGGCAGCGGGACGAGCCACCGCGCCGAGGCTGAAGGAAAGGAAGATGATGTCAGCAGCATCATGAAGAAGTACCTGGGTAAAGACTAAGGTAACTGTGCTGAGCCACTGCCTGGCACTAGCTCAGAGCAGCGGGGACAGGTTTGGGCTGTTGGCCCCGAGCTGCTGCCCCTCCTCAGTGTCTGCACCAATGTGGGAGAGTGCGTGGACACAGGGTCCCAATGCTGCTCCCAGCATATCAAAGCATCCCAGGCCATGGGAGGCTTCAGCCTCGCTGCCAGGATGTCCCATGGGGTGTGTGGCACTGGGACTGGCCACCCCTTGCCCACTCTTTGGCACCTTCAGAGGTGCAAGGGGGAGGGCAATGGGGATACTGCCAGAGCCAGAGACAGCCTCAAGAGCTGGCCACAACACCACCCCTGAATCCACAGGGGTTTTCCAAAATTAGCATCCCCCAGCTCCCACACCACCCAGACACACCCCCACAAGCCCCACAAGCCCTCACTTCTCTGGGACCCAACCTTGTTTGGATAATTAGAAATCAGGTTGGTCTGGATGCTGGAGGTTCCCTCTCCAGAGGACCGGGCTCATGCCTGGTGCAGACATACTTTCCCCCAGTTATCAACAGCCTCTGACACCCACTTGGATGCCATTTCTCTATTGCAGCTGACACTTGGAGAATTAGGATTTATTGCTGCAATCCAGGTTTGAAAGTGAAGTCCCTAATGAATGCGCCACAACTGTAATTAAGTGTTTAAAATAGATTAGAAAAACATTTTGTAAAACCATTGCCTTTAGACTAACTTATTGGATGTCAAGCTGTGACCAAATTGACTAAGCCAACACACGAAGAGAGCGTGTGTTAATAAAACATTTCTTTCCAGGAAGCTGATTTGCATAATGCAACGTCCCACTTTCTCCAGAATTTGTTTTGATGAAGCGCAGCAGCCGAACCCCAAAGCCGCAGCGATGATGAGCCACGTCAGGCAGATGGCTTCCCTGCTCCTGGTAGGATACACCTCATGTGAGCAGTGACTGCAAAGGGCTCCCTGAAAGTCATGGGATGGTTTTACGAACTTTTTTGGTTTTGGACATACTGTGGTTTCCTTATGCTCCTGCCCCGTTTCCCAGCGCCTCAGCTTTGCTCAGGGCCAGCCGTGGGGACAAGAGACTTTCCTGTTCTCCTGCAGTTGTTCGACTCAGGAGTTGGTGCTTTCATTAAAACCCAGCGGCTGCCACAGATGCTGAGGATGTGCCATGGCCAGGGAAAGGCCACACTGAGAAGAGCTGGAGGAACACCAAACCCCGTCTTTTTAACCCAGAGGTGCAGCTCAGGTGTCTCATTCCACACAGCACTACTCAAAAATCATCCCAATGGCCAAGGGTCATACTGTTCAGTCTTGGTGTGACACCAGTAAAAGGGGAGCTCTGAAGCTTTTATAATTCCTTTGGTATTTGAAGATGGATCCATATGAGCTTCCATGGTTCCTGCCTGTTTGTGACATCTGGGCACATCCCAGTGACACATGAGGCAGCACTGCAGTGGGTGGGGCAGTGTGAGGCTCTATTTGATGTCTGCTTGGTTTTTACACAATAAAATATTTGCTTCTTTGACACACAGGTCACTTCTTGTCATTCCTTTCCCTGCAGTGGGAGCGGGTCTGTGGAGGTGGTGCAGAGCCAAGCCCGTCTCTCTGCATGTGTGAAAAGCTCATATCTCAGCCTCAGCCTAGAAGAGATCCAAATTTACTCACTGGTCACAGGTTTGGGGCAAAATGATACAGGTCCACGTGCAAACTTCTCCTTTCCATCAGGGATTTCTAAGTCATCTGCTAGACTGTGAAATTTGCACCAGTTTGCACAACCTCGCTGGCCCCTCCGAGGTGGCCACGGGCAGCGGGGGCTTGAAAGGCCAATTGGTCACTATTCAGCATTTTGTTTTTCCTCTCGGGTTCCTCACGTTCATGTCTAATTTAAAGCGAAGCCTTGCAGCAAGCAGCATTTCCCTTGTCAGCGATGGATGCGGAGCCTGGGGCTGAGGGCTCACATCAGCACTTTGCTCGGCCGCCCGTCAGCAATTCCCGGCAATCCCTCTGTCCCAGCGGCTCCGCAGGGCTGGCAGCCTGGAGGGGGGCAGCTCCGCTCAGAGTGACATTCCCTGTGCTTCCAGGTGTCCCTCTTGCTATGTGTGACTCATGCAAGAAGGCAGCAAATGAAGAAATTACCTCTAATTAGTTTTAAATAGGTCTTTCTAATGATTCTCCTATTTCTGGAACCAAAAGGCAAGTGTTTTTCTCTTTGCAGTGAATTTTGCTCTCGAGGGATTTCATAGAACCATAGGTTCTTGGAATGGTTTGGGTTGGAAAGAAAACTTAAAGATCATCTTGTTCCACCCCCTGCTACGGGTTGGGAAACCTTCCTGTAGCCCAGGTTACTCCAAGCCCCATCCAACCTGGCCTGGAACACTTCCAGGGATGAGGCAGCCACAGCTTCTCTGGACAACCCCTGTCAGGGCCTCATCACCCTCATGGGGAAGAATTTCTTCCCAATATCTCATCTAACCCTGTCCTTTATCAGTGGGAAGCCATTGTCCCTTGTCCTGTCACCCAGACCCTTGTACAAAGTCCCTCTCTCCAGCTTCCTTGGAGCCCTTTTAGCCACTGGAAGGGGCTCTAAGGTCTCCCCGGAGCCTTCTCTTCTCCAGGTTGAACATCTCCAGCTCTCCCAGCCTGTCTCCAGAGCAGAGGGGCTCCAGCCTTTGGAGCATCTCTGTAGCCTACTCTGGACTCACTCCAGCAGCTCCATATCCTTCCTGTGATGGGGATCACAGAGCTGGAAGCAGCACTGTAGGAGGGTCTCACCTGAGCAGAGCAGAGGGGCAGAATTGGACCTGCTGCCCACATAGAGGGGGGTGCAGCCTGATGCAGAAAAAATTTCAGTGAGGTGGGAATGTCAGGATGCTGTGGCCTGGACAGGCTGCTCCTTTGGCATGGGGGGAACAGGGAGGCAGAGAGTGTCTGTGTAATGAGATAGACGTAAAATATGGGATATGGGGCAGTACAATGCCAAGCAGGATGGATCAGGAGTGAAGGCAGATGGGCTATCAGGAAGAGCATTGGAACACGACTTCCTCCTACAGCAAAACAGCTCTGCAACACAAGGTAATGGGATCCCCAGCTCACCCAGAGCCAGCTGGTGGCACCTGAGGGGAGGAACACCCTGAAGGACACCCACTGCCAGGAGCATTGTACCACCTTTGGCCTCTGAAATCCAGCCTACAACTCCTTCTGGATGAGGAGTCATTTTGCAGCTCATTTATAATCTAATCTCAAAACACAACATAAATTGCTCATGATTTGTGGCTGTAGCAAAATGATTCCTTTGACACCAAGCCTTTGATTTGGAATTAATATGGCAGTGGGCTTGCTGGAAATTAAGCTGTTCCTACTTCAGCTTGCAGAAGAAAAGCAGATTTGTGTGTAATACGCTGACTTTTTTCTTTTCCTTTTGCTTTGCAGGACACAAAGGAAATTGCTCTGTCACTTGGAATGGCTGTGCACATCCTTTAATGACAAACCCGGACAAAACGATGCTTGGCCTGGAGTGTTTCAGGCTGAGTCCAGAGAATTGTTTGCCCTTGGAGCAACCAGAGAGCAAAGCTCATGGATGGCAAGACCGAGCCATCCATCAGCGCCGGCCGATGGTAAATACGGAGCGTGCATGGCATGGGGGTCAGAGATCCTGTTCCCTGCTCCCCCCAGAATGTTCAGGAGACACAAAACTGATGGCTGAGTCAGCCGAGTGCAGCACCACGGGGGTTTATAACCTGGAGTGGGAGGACAGGAGTCATTCCCTTTGTCCCTGTGTTTTAGCCACATTCGCTGCCTTTCAGCACAAGAGCTTTGCCCTTTGCTCCTGTGAGGGATGGAGCCCACAGGGAGGGAAGTGTGGAGACTGCATGTGACCCTTGGAGAAGGGCTGGTCCAGAGCCTGCCAGCCAGAATCCTTCACGTGAGTGCACCTCAGAGCTGGGATTAGCCAGGAATGTGAGGATAACCCCCCTGCACCCCTGTGCCCACAGCAGCCGGCAACGCCGTCCCTCCCTGAGGAAGGCAGACCCTGGCAAAGAGAAATGTTTCCACGTCAGATGGAAAAGCCCTGAGCAACAAGACTGCCAAGTTTCTAATTAGCGTAATTGAAGTGTGCTCTTTTCTTCCAATGGGTGTGCCTGCGGAGAGCCTTCCTCAGAGGAGCAATCTCTGTAAGAGCTCCTTCTCTGCACGATGCTCATCACTCAGGATTGAAAGTGTCTGTCCAGAGCTGTCCTGCAGTGCTTATGGAGCCGGGGTCAGCTGCTTTCCTGCTGGCAGAGCTTCCTCTGGCGCGTCACATCCGTCACTGATGGAGCATTCAGCGGCAGCGCAGGCGAGCTGGGCAGGTTCAGGTGCAATGCCTGGTCCCTGCTGTGGGGAGTACCAGTGCTGGAGACCTCCCAGGCTCCCCATCCCTGAACATAACACCTTTGCAGGAGCTGCATGTCGGGGAGTCATAGAATATCCTGAGTTAGAAAGACCCACAAGGATCATCAATCTCACCCCCGTCCCTGCACAGGACACACCAAGAATTCCACTGTGTGCCTGAGATGCTCTGTGATCCCCTCCAGTGCTCTCAGGGCAGTCAGGAATCTCCATTCATTACACTTCCAAGGCTATTAGCTGGATCTGTAAGCCTCTTTTCTAACAAATAAGCTGTTTTTCCCAGTGCCTGTATCTGTGAATGCTCAGCTTTGGCTCCTAACTCTGCTCAGTGGGATGGGAAACACTAAGTGTTGCCCATCCTCACCTGGCAGAGCAGCTGGGGCTCTCCTGCAGGCTGGTGGCTCCAGCAGCAGGATGGGGGCGAGGGACCCCCCCAGCCTGCACAGGGTTCAGCTCCCGCCTGCACTGACAGGATTCAATTTCACGGCAGTTGGATGCAGGGAGTTAATTCCCAGTTGCTGCCATGCACGGAGCCTCTCTGCCGCTTAAATGTGTCCCTTCCAAAAGGGGGTTATAATTGAAATTAGTCTTCCTGCAGGCAGCTCAGCAGCCATGGAAGCCTCCTCCTTCTCTCCTCACTGTTTGCTGTTGTGGGTGGGCTCGTGTCCCAGCAGCTCCGACAGCAGCCAAGCCCATACCCAGCACAGTGACCTTCAAATGGGTTGGAATGGAGAATTTGGTCTGTGAAGAGATGAGCCAAGTCTTTGGCATGGCATAGTGTGGCATGACAGAAATGTGTAGAAAGTGAAAATTACCCGGATTTGCCAAAGTGGTACAGCCTTGGTTACCCTCCGCCTCCCTGTGTGGGTGGAGAGCAGGGATGGTGCCCCCATGCTGTGCCAGACCACTAAGGATGACCCCAAACCCCATGTCCCCACCAGGATCTGGACCCTACCCCTGCCCAGGGTGTCCTCCCGCTGCCCAGTGCCGTGTCCATCCTGGTGTGGGACTGTCAAGAGGAAGGCAGGACGTGCTCCCTACCCAGCTCCCGCCTTTCTCCCCAGCTCAGGGCTGAGTGACTGTGGATTCAGGGCCATCTGTCAAACTGGGGCTTGGTTTTATCAGGCTGAGCTTTATCCTTACTGAAGTCACACCGGGATTCCTGTCTCAGTGCCAGCCAGCCCTCACTCTCCTGCCGTGCCGGTGACAGGCGCGTGCTGTGCTCCAGTGAGGCTCCTGGCAATCCCAGAGGAGCCCAGAACGCCCCAGATAATCTGCTGAATATTAACTACACCACAAGCACACGTGCCATCACCTCACGCTCACTGAGGGGAAAAATTCCTTGAAGTCAGGACAAGGAGTCAGAGGAAGAGCTGGTGTCTCTGGGCTGAGGCTCTGCTGGGCTCAGCTTAGGCTGGCACTGACCCCACAGCTCCTGGGTCCTGGAAAAGCTGGGATCCAAGTAGCAAGTGAGCAGAGGATGTGGCAGGGCTGCAGAGCAAAAACAAGGAGCCAAAGGTGGGGTTCAATGACCCCCGCCCAGAAGACTCTGCTGCAGCAGCAGGGACAGGGCTGGCTCCACTCCAGACACTTTTGGTGTCTCTCTCAACTCAAAAGTGTATGTATTTTATGCATTATATTTTATTTATATCAACTATATTAAATTTATATGTGTGTAATGTTATATATTTTGTATATCTCATAAAGAAACTATTAGATACAAATATAATATGCTAGATACATATTATATATTTAAGCATTTAGATATTATATTGTATATTACAATATATTACATTATGTATTATGTGTTATGTGTTCTGTATTATATATGTTATGTATTCAGTATTATATTTATCTAATCTGTTTATAGAGGAGTGTGCTATGTCATCGAATGACATTGTGCATTAGGGAAAAAACACTATAATTATCATCATTCCATTTTCTCCTTAGACTAAATGTACTTTTGCTTGAACTGTTATAATGGTTAATTTTTGGTTGTTATTTTTGAGTGCAGGCCCACGCAGGCCTTTCCCACCTGTATCCAAGAGATCACTTTTACCACACACCCACTCATGGCCACCCTTGTCATTAAGCAAAATTGCTGCAAAATGAACCCAACACAGTTGGATTTTGCTGGA